ACACACACACACACACACACACACAGTATTGGGACACCCCTTCTAATGAACAGGTTTGACTACTTTAGTATTTTCCATAAAATTAGTACAAATCCTAATGTTTAAGCATATAATGATATTCTAGAGAATTGTGTGCTTCTAATTTTATAGCAACAGTTTGGCCTCTGTGTATAAGGCAAGGTTCAAAAATAAATGTGTGACTTTAAATGCAGACCTTGAGCCAAAAACTCATCACCAAACACCAATGACTTGTACATACACTACATAGACAAAAGTATTGAGACACCCCCTTCTTTAGAACAGAAAAGGCACTTCCAAAACGGTGGCTACAAAGATGGAAAACATAATTCATGTATTTAAAAATTTTATTTCCATCTCTGTTGCAACAGTTCTGGAAGTGTCTAAAATGACTCGACCCATATGTACAAGGCATTAGTGTTCGGTGATGAGTTTTTGGCTCAAGGTCTGCATTTTGAATTGAAATTTATTTGACAAACTGTACAAAATACAAGTATCCCATACACATTTCCATTGTGGCCCTCGATGTTAATATAAAGAGTATAAGGCTATGTACAGAAAAGACAGTAATCTCCTAATCAAATACTAATAAAAAAAAATAGTAACAATAATTCACAATTTTCACAATTTAAAGTCACAGCAGAGGAGTTCAGTGCAGACCAGTCAAGTTCTGACTCAGTCAATCATTTCTTTTTGAACCTTGCCTTATGCACAGAGGTATTGTCATGTTAGAATAGAAAAGGGTCCTGTCCAAACTGTTGCTGTAAAACTAGAAGCACACAATTCACTAGAATATCATTATATGCTTAAACATTAAGATTTGTACTCATGGAAATTACTAAACCCAATACTTTTGTCCAAATAGTGTATATAATGAAATGAACGAAACTATAAACGTTTCAAAATGATTTGCCTGTTTAGGTTAGATATTTCGGTTTTTCAGGATGAAATATGATTTCGACTGACTTTGGATGGTCCAATTAAATCTCATTGTCATCTGCTTCTTCTCTGCACTGTTGAATAGTGATGGTTGGAGGTGAGCTGATGTCTCACACAGGGGAATACGACAGTATTGATGGATGGATGTATTATTGATCACGCTCTGAGCTCTCTGTGGGAATCAATGGCCCAGCAGCACATTCACTTCCCATGAGAGAAAGCCAGGAATCACTAGCCATTCAACATGAGATCGACCACAAACACAACAAACATTTGTTTTCGGACGAGCACAGGGCCAGAAAAGCTTATTTATCAATAGAACGGCTGCGATAATTCATCAATATCTGAGCGTGTTTGTCGGGATGGAGGAGATGAAGATCAAGCGCAGTGCTGCTTTTCGTCTCTTCTGGGTTGCGTTGCCATGACGACGTCTCAGCTAACAATGAGTTCAGGTTGTGCTCATCCTCTTTACAGTACAGACGGCTAACAGCGATTCTCCTATGATGACAGGAAAAACATAACATCATCAATCATAAAACATCCTCACAGATTCAGCAAGCACGGCTGATGGACATGTGACATACTTACTACTAATTACTGGATGTTTACAAAAGTGCTTTTGTTGAGAGATGAAAAGGAAAGTCATTTCACTTATTATATCTGGATAAGACAAGCATTGTTTCAGTATTGATTTCATGTCGACTTTTAGTTTCTGAACTCCTGCTGTAGACTAATGTGCTTCTCATATGGCTTAACATGATTTAAAATAAGAAGCCAAAACAGATGATAATCAAGATGTAGCTGAAATAACTTTTCCCATTTTTATTTGTTCAAATTTGATTTAATAACCAGGGTTCTTGTGATCTTTGACAACCTGGATATAATGTATGAGAGAATTTACATTATATTGTTTTACATTAGTACTAAAAATCAATTTGCATTTTAATTAAATGACTGTCCATTAATGTATATATAAGTATGTGTGTGTGTTTGTGTATACTCACCCACATTTGTCAAGCTCTGTAATGAGTGAGTGTTTGTGTATGTGTGTGTGTGTGTGTGTGTATGTATGTGTGTGTGTGTGTGTGTGTGTGTGTGTGTATACTCACACACATTTGTCAAGCTCGGTAATGAGTGAGTGTTTGTGTATGTGTGTGTGTGTGTGTGTGTATGTATGTGTGTGTGTGTGTGTGTGTGTGTGTGTGTATACTCACACACATTTGTCAAGCTCGGTAATGAGTGAGTGTTTGTGTATGTGTGTGTGTGTGTGTGTGTATGTATGTGTGTGTGTGTGTGTGTGTGTGTGTGTGTATACTCACACACATTTGTCAAGCTCGGTAATGAGTGAGTGTTTGTGTATGTGTGTGTGTGTGTGTGTGTATGTATGTGTGTGTGTGTGTGTGTGTGTGTGTGTGTATACTCACACACATTTGTCAAGCTCGGTAATGAGTGAGTGTTTGTGTATGTGTGTGTGTGTGTGTGTGTATGTATGTGTGTGTGTGTGTGTGTGTGTGTGTGTGTATACTCACACACATTTGTCAAGCTCGGTAATGAGTGAGTGTTTGTGTATGTGTGTGTGTGTGTGTGTGTATGTATGTGTGTGTGTGTGTGTGTGTGTGTGTGTGTATACTCACACACATTTGTCAAGCTCGGTAATGAGTGAGTGTTTGTGTATGTGTGTGTGTGTGTGTGTGTATGTATGTGTGTGTGTGTGTGTGTGTGTGTGTGTGTATACTCACACACATTTGTCAAGCTCGGTAATGAGTGAGTGTTTGTGTATGTGTGTGTGTGTGTGTGTGTATGTATGTGTGTGTGTGTGTGTGTGTGTGTGTGTGTATACTCACACACATTTGTCAAGCTCGGTAATGAGTGAGTGTTTGTGTATGTGTGTGTGTGTGTGTGTGTATGTATGTGTGTGTGTGTGTGTGTGTGTGTGTGTGTATACTCACACACATTTGTCAAGCTCGGTAATGAGTGAGTGTTTGTGTATGTGTGTGTGTGTGTGTGTGTATGTATGTGTGTGTGTGTGTGTGTGTGTGTGTGTGTATACTCACACACATTTGTCAAGCTCGGTAATGAGTGAGTGTTTGTGTATGTGTGTGTGTGTGTGTGTGTATGTATGTGTGTGTGTGTGTGTGTGTGTGTGTGTGTATACTCACACACATTTGTCAAGCTCGGTAATGAGTGAGTGTTTGTGTATGTGTGTGTGTGTGTGTGTGTATGTATGTGTGTGTGTGTGTGTGTGTGTGTGTGTGTATACTCACACACATTTGTCAAGCTCGGTAATGAGTGAGTGTTTGTGTATGTGTGTGTGTGTGTGTGTGTATGTATGTGTGTGTGTGTGTGTGTGTGTGTGTGTGTATACTCACACACATTTGTCAAGCTCGGTAATGAGTGAGTGTTTGTGTATGTGTGTGTGTGTGTGTGTGTATGTATGTGTGTGTGTGTGTGTGTGTGTGTGTGTGTATACTCACACACATTTGTCAAGCTCGGTAATGAGTGAGTGTTTGTGTATGTGTGTGTGTGTGTGTGTGTATGTATGTGTGTGTGTGTGTGTGTGTGTGTGTGTGTATACTCACACACATTTGTCAAGCTCGGTAATGAGTGAGTGTTTGTGTATGTGTGTGTGTGTGTGTGTGTATGTATGTGTGTGTGTGTGTGTGTGTGTGTGTGTGTATACTCACACACATTTGTCAAGCTCGGTAATGAGTGAGTGTTTGTGTATGTGTGTGTGTGTGTGTGTGTATGTATGTGTGTGTGTGTGTGTGTGTGTGTGTGTGTATACTCACACACATTTGTCAAGCTCGGTAATGAGTGAGTGTTTGTGTATGTGTGTGTGTGTGTGTGTGTATGTATGTGTGTGTGTGTGTGTGTGTGTGTGTGTGTATACTCACACACATTTGTCAAGCTCGGTAATGAGTGAGTGTTTGTGTATGTGTGTGTGTGTGTGTGTGTATGTATGTGTGTGTGTGTGTGTGTGTGTGTGTGTGTATACTCACACACATTTGTCAAGCTCGGTAATGAGTGAGTGTTTGTGTATGTGTGTGTGTGTGTGTGTGTATGTATGTGTGTGTGTGTGTGTGTGTGTGTGTGTGTATACTCACACACATTTGTCAAGCTCGGTAATGAGTGAGTGTTTGTGTATGTGTGTGTGTGTGTGTGTGTATGTATGTGTGTGTGTGTGTGTGTGTGTGTGTGTGTATACTCACACACATTTGTCAAGCTCGGTAATGAGTGAGTGTTTGTGTATGTGTGTGTGTGTGTGTGTGTATGTATGTGTGTGTGTGTGTGTGTGTGTGTGTGTGTATACTCACACACATTTGTCAAGCTCGGTAATGAGTGAGTGTTTGTGTATGTGTGTGTGTGTGTGTGTGTATGTATGTGTGTGTGTGTGTGTGTGTGTGTGTGTGTATACTCACACACATTTGTCAAGCTCGGTAATGAGTGAGTGTTTGTGTATGTGTGTGTGTGTGTGTGTGTATGTATGTGTGTGTGTGTGTGTGTGTGTGTGTGTGTATACTCACACACATTTGTCAAGCTCGGTAATGAGTGAGTGTTTGTGTATGTGTGTGTGTGTGTGTGTGTATGTATGTGTGTGTGTGTGTGTGTGTGTGTGTGTGTATACTCACACACATTTGTCAAGCTCGGTAATGAGTGAGTGTTTGTGTATGTGTGTGTGTGTGTGTGTGTATGTATGTGTGTGTGTGTGTGTGTGTGTGTGTGTGTATACTCACACACATTTGTCAAGCTCGGTAATGAGTGAGTGTTTGTGTATGTGTGTGTGTGTGTGTGTGTATGTATGTGTGTGTGTGTGTGTGTGTGTGTGTGTGTATACTCACACACATTTGTCAAGCTCGGTAATGAGTGAGTGTTTGTGTATGTGTGTGTGTGTGTGTGTGTATGTATGTGTGTGTGTGTGTGTGTGTGTGTGTGTGTATACTCACACACATTTGTCAAGCTCGGTAATGAGTGAGTGTTTGTGTATGTGTGTGTGTGTGTGTGTGTATGTATGTGTGTGTGTGTGTGTGTGTGTGTGTGTGTATACTCACACACATTTGTCAAGCTCTGTAATGAGTGAGTGTTTGTGTATGCATGTGTGTGTGTGTGTGTGTGTATACTCACACACATTTGTCAAGCTCTGTAATGAGTGAGTGTTTGTGTATGTGTGTGTGTGTGTGTGTGTATGTATGTGTGTGTGTATACTCACACACATTTGTCAAGCTCTGTAATGAGTGAGTGTTTGTGTATGTGTGTGTGTGTGTGTGTGTGTGTATACTCACACACATTTGTCAAGCTCTGTATGTGTGTGTATATGTGTGTGTGTGTGTGTGTATGTGTGTGTGTGTATGCTCACACACATTTGTCAAGCTCTGTAATGTTTTATTCAGTAGAAATGGCTATTTTTGAATAAAAAAAATATGAAAGAGTCATAACTATATCATCATCCAGCTTTAATCTGATAAATGATAAAGACATAACGATATTCAAATATTAAATACATTAACATCATAATTTTTCTATAAAGCTGCCTTAAAACAGTATGCAATGGGAAAAGCACTGTACAAATGAATTTGATTGATGTCATTACAGCAGAACTATCTCGGGGTCAGAAAGGGTTTCTAAGCCTGTTCTGGATGTTGTAATGAGTCGAGGTTTTGTTGATCATCACTGACACTGAGAGCAAGAGTCGCACAATTGAATCGTTTAAAACCTTTCAGAGCCCAAAACCTTCGCTTAAAAAAGAAAACAAGGGGACAAGCAGCTTACATCAACAAATGGGTATCAGTGTGATATACTAGGCTTTTTGAGCTCATAATTAATGAATTACACTACATGGAATATTTGTCTGCAGGACTAGTTAAAAGCAGTTCTTTTTCACCCTCATGTCATTCAAAACATTTTAAAAAGACGTCCTTTCTTCTTCAGAACACAAAATAAGAAGATCTCCATGTGTTTTTGTTTTGTCAGTGGGCTCTGATATTGTTTGAAAATACACGAGAGTAAATAAATGATGAAATATCACCCAGAAATAGTGAGATTTTAGACTATTTTTTTTTCTTTCAGGCTTGCTTCAAATTTTCATTTTTAGTTCAATGTATGGCTTGCTGTTTTTCTGTAATTAATTGAGACATTTACTACCAGTTTCTGAGCGAAAACTGTTTCAAAGTCAATCCTACACCATTTTCCCCCAGTGTACTGTAGTTCTCTAAGAATGAAAATACAAGTACATTATACATATTTTCATATATTTATTTATATATAAACATACACTACCTGTACCTGTACCTGTAATTACAATGAATGTCAATGGGCCCTAATGTGGTTTTAAATGACAAGGATAAATTATGAAATACCACCCGAAAATGGTGAAAAAGTAAATGGTAACCAGTTAAACCACCTACAGACAAACTGAAGCCTTGAGCAATAAACAACACTAACTACAACAACAGATATTTACATTATTTACAACATTTACATATTTATGTACTTAATAAAATACCCTGCAATGGTACTTTTAGTATACTAAACTAAAGTCTGCTAAATTGGAACAACTAATTTTGTACTTAAGGCACTTTAATTGTGCAGAAGTAGTGTTGAAGTCCAATTAAAGATATACTTCGTATACTTGATTGTGCTAAAGTGGAACTATTGCAAGTATACTTTGTATAATATTTTGCATTTAAAGACCAATATTATTCAAAAATCATACAATCCTCATCAAAAGTGACATTAAAACACATTTTAGACTTAATATTAAGAAATGTGCATTGTGCACAAGTAGTATGCCAAAACTCAAGTCTCGAGTTATCTGTCAGTAAATATGTTAATAGATTTGAACTATGTGAAATAAATGTATTTTAAATATATTACTTTTTTACTAAGACAGGAACAGGCCATCTGGCTCTGCTGAAGATGAAGCCACTCCAGAACATTTCAGCTCTGCTGTTTGTGAACGCTGAAGATATTTCATTAAAAACCTCACAGACTGATCTTTCTGTGACGAGAGGAGACGGGGGTCAGATTCACAGAAACCTGCTCAAAAACTCGCCATCCCATCAACAGACTAGAGCTCTGAAAAAAACTGGTCTAGAACACGTTTTCGCTCAAATAATTACAAAGACAGCAACATTGAATTAAAGTTTTTAAGAAGAAAAACTGACAAAGTACTTTCTTGTCCTCCAATAATCTTTGTAAGTCACCTTGTACAAAAAGCATGAATAAATGTGCATGTATCTTCGACTTCTTATCTCACACTCACTGAAAAAGGAAGACTATGATAGAAAGTGAGAAGTTATGGCCAGCAAGACCTTCATACATGGAATCTTATTTCAGCCACCAAAAAATGGTGATTTTTCTTACGCTTGCAATTTTGGGGTAAAAAAACTATATATAGCCTATATAAACTGTTTATATATGCTATATATATAATATTTATATATATATATACACTATATAGGCTCGGAGAAATACAAGATATAAACTCAGGTAGAAACTCATAAATACGAAATAGAAATTCAGATAGAAATATGAGATATAAATTCAGAAACAAACTCAGAAATACAAAATAGAAACACAAGGAATAAACTCAAAAAAAAAAAAAAAACGAGATGTACTTCATGTCTTGCATTTCTATCTTGTATTTCTCACATATTTTTATCTCACAATTCTGAATGTTGTCAGAATTGTGAGATATAAACTCACAATTGTGACAAACTCTGAATTGAGATAGAAACTCAGAAATTAGTTATGTAAACTCAAATTTTTTTAGACATAAAACTGTCTAAAAAAAAGTCAGAATTGTGAGAAAAATTTGTTGTTACCTTTTAAATGTTTTATTCTGTGGCAGAAACAAGCTTCCATAGGAAAGTGAAGAGTGTCCGTTGAGGAAAAGTGCGAATCTCACAGGGCCACAAAACCTTCTGCTGTCCAGAACAGAGCTCACGGCATCAGATACGGCTCGCTTACATGGGACACAAACACAGAAATGAACTGCTAACATGTACCTTCAATGCAGTGTCAGTTTGATTTAAAGCATCTGCCAAGTGCATAAATGTAAAAGTTAATAAATATTTATTTTTTAATGCCATTACATTTTTTGAAGTGAAGAAAGTTGGGCAAACAGACTTCATCTGTCCACTAAAAATAAACAAAATATTAATTGACTTAATTGAAAAGCTCCAGCATCACTTATTTGCAGATGACAGTTGTGTTTTCTGATTAAAAGACATGCAGATATTTTTAGGTGTGACTGAAGAGGCAGATGCTTTGTGGGTCGGCTCACGGTAAGCGTGTGTGTGTTTGGAGACGCTTTTGATCCAGGCAGATCAGAGGAGATCAATGCTGTGAATCCAGTGCTGTTTGAGTGAGGGAGTGTGTGAGTCAGCAGTTCACACACACACACACACACAGTGTTTATGTGCTGCAGTGTGTGTGAGTGTTTATGTGCTGCAGTGTGTGAGTGTTTATGTGCTGCAGTGTGTGTTTATGTGTGTGTGAGAGAGAGTGTTTATGTGCTGCAGTGTGTGTGTGAGAGAGAGTGTTTATGTGCTGCAGTGTGTGTGAGTGTTTATGTACTGCAGTGTGTGTGTGTGTGAGAGAGTTTATGTGCTGCAGTGTGTGTGTGTCTGTGTATGTGTGTGAGACAGTGTTTATGTGCTGCAGTTGCAGTGTGTGTGTGTGAGAGAGTGTTTATGTGCTGCAGTGTGTGTGTGTGTGTTTATGTGCTGCAGTGTGTGTGTGAGTGTTTATGTGCTGCAGTGTGTGTGAGAGGGGTTTTATGTGTGGCCGTGTGTGTGTGTTTATGTGCTGCAGTGTGTGTGTGTGAGAGAGTGTTTATGTGCTGCAGTGTGTGTGTGTGTGTTTATGTGCTGCACTGTGTGTGTGTGTGTGTGATAAAACAATAAAAACTAAGTGTATGATTTTTTTTAAACTGAAATATAGCTGAACTTTAAATTTTAGTTAGGCGTAAATATGACTGTAAATGTAATGAAATGCTGTATAAAGATAATAAAAGAAACTTACCTCAGTTTGAATAAAAGTTTAAAGTAGTCATAAGATTTCTAGAATTGCAAAAAAAAAAAAATAATAATAATAATAATAAAAAATGAAATGTAATGTCAGAAAGATAAATTCATTATTTTAAATCCAGATAATAGCACAGTGCAGAAAAAAAAAGACAAATTCAGCATTTTCTTAGAAAACCTTTTTTCTTAGAAAAACAACCACAAAAAAGCTACATAGTAAAAACATGATTTTTAGTTTAAATTATATGCAATTGATAACGGACATCTAAATTAATTACAAAATTCTGATTGAATTCACTTTTCATTCTATAAAACCCATTAGAAAGTGGTCATGACGGGAGACATTAAAAATAGTATTTTGCATGACAGCGACACTTTGCATTCTGCTATTAACATCAGAGGTGAATCTCAACAGTTTGCTGAGAATCAGTCTCTCTGTATTTCTGCAGCACACTGTGAATGGAGACGATGGATCGATGCTCTGACTGCGGCACCTGTGACCCTGTTTCAGTGAAAAGCAGCTCTGTATGCTTTCATACTTCACTACACTTTCCTTAACACTGTACATTTACATTTAGTCATTTAGCAGACACTTCTATCCAAAGCGACTTACAAATGAGGACAATACTGACTGTATCTAGTGCAGGATATATATATATATATATATATATATATAGAGAGAGAGAGAGAGAGAGCGCAAGAGAGAGAAATTAAAGATTGTTGAACTATGGCTGAACTATTAATTTTTAATGAGGCATAAATATAACTGTAAATATAAAGAAATAAATATAGACATATCACATTTTCCCTGGAAAAATATCCATTAGGTTTGATGGATAAACTATGATCTAACATAAAATTACCAGCATAACATGAGCATAAAATTGTAAGAACAAAAGTCAATCATCTCAACTAGTTATTACCCAATAAGCCTACACAAATCAAGGTTTTAAATGATTTTTTTTTTTTTAAATCAGTGTTGCAATAATTCACATTACTAACTACAAACCTCACATAAAATGCATGTCAAATGAAACAGCTCATATTATGTACTGAATTGGAAACTACGGAGCAGGCGGATCAATATTTTCTGCATGTTAAGCTGCTTTTGACCTTTTGTTGAATAAGAACAAAAGTTTGACTTTATTTTCAAGCTCTATTTTGTTTCCTATTCATGGAAACCAGCGTGCTAAATGATTGTTGGGTAATAATTGGGTTTTATTTCCATAAAGAGCTGAATGAGATAACAGCATGATTAATGAGAGCTGCCGACGCAGGAGAACACGCTCACAGCAAAGCATTCACAGCCATTCTCTGATAAGAATTTCTTTAAAATCTTTATTCCATTACATGTGTTACATTCAATATCCAATGTTTGTTTGGACACATATATGATGGTATGAATACAAACAAGCGTTCATCTGTTGTGCCGTCCCTAATCAATAGTATAAGATGAGTGAGCAGAACTTAACACCTGCGTATATTTACATAGAAAGTCAAACTTTATACAAAGTCCATGCCGTCAATATTTACACACGGAAAAAGAGACGCCTCCGAGCAACCGGCCTTTACAGTTTGTTCTTACAAAAGAAACGCAGCGTTAACAGGGAGCTTCTGACTAATTATTATCAGCAATATCCGGCTCTGTGTTTGGGTGACGTCTGCATTTGAAGGCCTTTTATTATGGAAAACTGAAATAAATAAACACAGGCCATCCTGAATGCAGATGGAAACAGGGATATTTTACATCGGTTATTCCTGTAGTGCTTTCTATACGGAGTCAAAACAGTGAATTCAGTCTGATTTGATGATGGACATGCTGTATAAATGAAATGTGGCCAATGAGAAAGTGTCAGAAACACTCAATAAAAGAATAGGAATAAATGATAAGCCCTTATGTCTTTCGACTGAAATGCATTACGAGTCGAAGTAAAGTAGCATCATGGTAAGCAGACGGAAACAACGTTCAGCGCAGACTGAACTACGTGATGAAGAGGAAGATGAAGAAGCGACTGGCATCAGATCATTGGCTGCTGGAGTTTAGTGTTCATTTTCATAGTGCTTTAGAGGAAATGGCTTCATGTGAGGACGTTCCTTCAAATTATAAACATGATGAAGTAAAATGTCATTCATTGTGAAGTACAGTAGCAGGGTGAGTCTCACCAAACCGCTCAATCAGTCATATTTCACTCCAAAAATCACAAGAACAAAAAATTTGCTTTGCATGAAGAAAATAAAGCCTGTTTTAAAGAGTTTAAGACTGATATTAATTGACGTTCTCATAAATGCAATGCAATGCAAAAACAGGGCAAAAAATAATTATGTATTAATTACATTTTTAAGTATTTATACATCATGGTGGTACTTGTTGTACTGCCTATTAATTACACCAATGTACTACAGTATTTTTATGGTATTACAATAATGGAAATCACATTTGAGGCACACACACACACACACCCAGTGATCTCCTGCTGACCACCATGTTGTCCACCAGAGGAATGACCATGTTGAATTTGCCCATAGCGCCGTGCAGTTTGATCCGAAACAGGCCGGTCTTCAGCGGATGGATGAATATTATGGGAACGTCCTTCTCTGAGGAGCTGGACCTGAGAGAGAACAGGTGTGAGGGTGAATAAGATCAATTCACGGACTGGAATCAGTTTTTCAAACGGTTTGTTACCTGGAAGTGCTGCTGTTGACGGCCGTCTCCACGCCGGTGCTCGTCTCCGCCAGTAACTCCGACACGGGAAAGTTCTCTGAGAGAAACAGGACAAATCTGATGTAGGATGCATTTTGAAACAATTTGAAAATCAAGGAATTTTATGTATGTGGAAAACATTTTACCTATGTCATCGTATCGCTCAACCCACACGACCAACACTTTGGTGTCCGGTCCTAACGGTGGTATCGTCCTGCCAGACGGCAACTTCCTGCTTTTCACTGTCGGGGACTGAGCGCAAGAAATAACATTATACACTAGTGGTCAAAAGCTTGGAAGAAGTCTCTTCTGCTCACCAAGGCTGCATTGATTTGATCAGAAATACAGTAAAAAATCTGTGAAATATTATTGCAATTTAAAATAGCTGTTTTCTATGTGAATATCTGTTAAAATGTAATTTATTCCTGTGATCAAAACTGAATTTTCAGCATCATTACTCCAGTCTTCAGTGTCACATGATCTTCAGAAATCATTCTAATATTCTGCTGCTCAAGAAACATTTCTGATTATTGTTAATGTTCAAAACAGTTGTGCTGCACAATATTTTTGTGGAAACCATGATACACTAGCATTCAAAAGTTTGGGGACAGTAAAATAAAAATGTAAATAATAAAAAAAAAACTTTAAAAACTATTACTATACTTTTATTCATTAAGGATGCATTAAATTGATCAAAAGTGACAATAAAGCCATTTATGTTACAAAAGATTTATATCTAAAATAAATGCTGTTCTTTTGAACTTTCTATACATCTGTGAATCCTGAAAAATAAAATGTATCACAGTCTCCACAAAAATATTGTGCAGCACAACTGTTTTCAACATTGATAATAATCAGAAATGTTTCTTGAGCAGCAAATCAGCATATTAGAATGATTTCTGAAGATCATGTGACACTGAAGACTGGAGTAATGATGCTGAAAACAGCTATTTTAAACTGTAATATTTCACTTTTTTTTTTTTTTTTTACTGTTTTTCATCAAATAAATGCAGTCTTGGTGAGCAGAAGAGACTTCTTTTTAAAAATATAATTAAGATCTTTTAATTCCAAACTATATATAACTATATACTCTCTCTCTACGTATGTACATGTGCATATGTGTATGTATGTATGAGAACAGCAGTCAAGGACAAATGTGTAACAGTTGCAATGGGAGAAGATGTGTTTTGCTGACAGATGTAATTAGTGACAGACCAATACACTGGCAGGTTAAACTGCCTCAGAACTGCAGTGATCTGAAAGCTGAGGGAGTTACTCGTTGTGTGGGTCCCATGTTGTCGGAGTGGTTGGGGAAGAGCTCCAGCGTCAGGTTGGGCTGCTTCAGTAAACTGGGTAACAGCTCCATCTGAGAGTCTGAGTCTGCCGTCGGGAAGCTGTGCTCTGATGACTCGGCTACGGTAGGAGTGAAAAGAACATTTGTCATATTTAATAAATCAATATGAATTCATTAAACGGGTTAAATGCATTAAACTAATGGAGAAATCAATACTCCATTAATAGTCCTCTGCAGTGTGTTAGAAAGGACGCTTGATGCCTCAAATTCACATTTCTGTTCAGCCACAAATTTAATAAAACCTAAAAGTGTTTGAATACAGAAACCAATCCAAAAGCATGCAGAAACTGAACAGAGAGAGTGTTTTACCGGACGAGTCGCTGAGGGACGGCACGACAAAGGCGATTTCTGTCAGAGCGTCTGCGTAATAGAGCACCCGCTTCTCTCCGTTAAACACACCGCCGCCAGTGTCGCCCAGAGTCTCTGAATTATCTGCGCACACACACACACACAGACACAGACACAGACAGACACACACACACACACACACACACACAGTGTTTTATCTTTATAGTCTGATCATGAGAAGACAGTAAAACATGTATGTCTTCAGATAATCATGCTGACTTATGTTTGTTGCAAATTATGTTTTTTGTAATGATTATACATTTATAAAATGTATAATCTGCTAAATTAAACCATGTGACAAGTGTTCTACCTAAAATAAACCAATGTTATTATTAACTAAAACTATTATAAAGTCATTTTTTATTCTAATAAAGCTGAAATAAAATATAAATATTAGATTAAATCTCATTCTGTAAAAAAAAAAAATCAAATCGAATCGTGATTTGAGTGAATCGTTACATCCCTACTGCCTTGGTGACTAACGGAAATAAAATAAGTTGAAGTTGAAGTACTAAAATTACTAAAAATTAGACATCATGTAGAAGATAAACACGGTGTCACACGGCCGGGACGGTAACAGGTCCAGGTAGCCGACGTCGTCGAAAAAGCCCGGCACAGACGAGTCCAGAGCGATGAGATGAGGAGGCAGTCGACTGTTTCCAGGCTCCTGAGAGAACACACATACACACACACACACACACTCTCTCTCACACACACACACACACACTCTC